AAAGAGGAGAAACATCAACAGGAGGAAGGTCTAAGGGGGCAGTGCCAAAGGGGGATAACACCAACGGGAATAACACTGAGGAGGAGGAACGCCAAGAGGGGAGATGCCAAGATGGGTATTGCCAATGGGTGGGAAACCAATGGGAATGACACCAAAGAGGAGAAACATCAACAGGAGCAACGTCAAAGGGGGCAATGCCAAAGGGGGATAACACCAATGGGAATAACGCTAAGGAGGAGGAACGCCAAGAGGGGGGACGCCAAGGTGGGTATTGCCAATGGGTGGGAAACCAGTGGGAATAACACCAAGGAGAAGTAAGACCAATTTGGGGTTTGCCAATGTGGCAATGCCAAAAGGGGTAATGCCAAGGAAGGGTAACGCCAACAGGGGTGGTGCTAATGGGAATAACGGCAATGGGGGAGACACCAACGGGGGCAACACCAATGGGAGTAACGCCAAAGGGGTAGCACAGTTGAGAATAAAACCAAGGTAACACCAAGGGGGAGGTGATGCCGAGGAGGATAGCACCGAGGTGGGGGTAAGGCTAGCGGAGTAATGCCAACGGGGGTGTCTCCAGTGTGGGAAGGCTGTAATGCCAACCAGAGTGACACCAGCTGGAGTAACATCCCACAGAATGGCACCAACAAGGGTACGTCAGGGAGGGAAAGCACCAGCAGAGGAGGGAACAGCGAGGCAGATAGCACCAACGGGGGTGACACCAGGCAGAGATGGTGCCAACGGGGATAACGCCAACAGGGTGACGCCGGTGGGGTGACGTCGGGAGTAGGAGCAGCAGGAGGGGTTTGCGGACGGGGAGGTGACGCCAACGGGTGAGTGATGCCAGTCGTGCCGTTGTCCAGGCCGTGGCAGTGCACTGCTTGCTGGGGAACGGCCGCACGGGCACCATGCTGGCCTGCTACCTCGTGAAGACCCAGAGGATGAGCGGGATCGACGCCATCCAAGAGATCCGCAGGCTGCGGCCGGGCGCCATCGAGACGCATGAGCAGGAGAAAGCCGTGGTGCAGTTCTACCAGCGCACTAAGTAGGGGCAGCCCTGTCTCCGCGTCTCCCACCGCCGCGCCGGCACCAGGGCCAGCGGGGCCTTTTCCGTTGGATGCATCAAGCTGCAGGGACGGTGGCGGTGGGATCTGCCCCACCACAGGGCTGGCAAGGACGAAGAGGAGCCCCAAGAGTCACCGTCGTCCCCAAGACAGCACGTGCTGGACAGAGATGGGTGGAGATGGTCATTCTGTCAAGCCGAAAAATGGAAGGGGAGTCTTTTCCAGCTCGGAGGGGCTGCTTTCCGCCCTGTCCATCATTAAAGGACTCTCCTGTGCTTGGTCTGTGCTTGAGGAACCAGCTTGCGCATGCAGCTCCCACGGGCTCCGAGCAGCCTTGGTGCGTTGGCCACGCAGAGCCCATGGCAACGATGCTCCAAAGGAAGAGCCTGGAGAGGCTCCAGCCCCCTGCTTGGCACCCAGGAGTCACCCACGGGCTTGCCCAGGATTCCAGGGCTACCTTAGGGTGCATCCAGGTGTTGGCCAAGAGGCCCTCATAGGTGTTGGAGACACCTCACACCTCGGTCTGGAGCTGCATGCTGGCCTCATGCAGCTCCTCAGGCTGCTGCCCATGGCGTGTTTGTCCCCATCCCTATGGGAATCATGGTCAGCTCCGCTTTGGGCACCGGGAAAGAGCCAGAGCGCTGACACGGGGCTCCGTTTAGGTGCCAGGGCCGGTGGCCACGTCAGAGAGCACACAAGGGCCACCCCGCTGCCGAGACGTCGATCCAAGGGACTTTGATGCTTAAAGGGAAGCTTAGCTGGAATTTAGGCATCTCTGTCCAAAAATCCAATCCTGAAAATCTCTTCTCAGCTGCTCCTAACCTTGGTGGCATTTAAATCCCAAGTGCAACAAGCGTCACCGTCCCTATTCCCGGGCGCGCGGCACATGGCCGGAAGCGCCGGGCGCTCGTGCGGGTGCAGGCG